TAATATATATAATGCAATTATGTATGTAAACACACCTTTTTATACACATATGTATTTTAAATTGTAACTGAGAGGAAATAGCACTAAACAGCATTAGTTCACAAATTCAAAAAATGCCACGGAACAACAAAAACGCACCAATTTTGACAAAAGTATACTGGGCATGAAAGAAGCAACTTTCAGATATTATGTCATTTATCCTGTAAATGGAATAAAAATATAGACTCAAAAATAGTCTACAAATTTCATTTCAAGATTTAAGAGCCTCTAAACTTCCAATCTTTTGGCACACAAAAACTGTAAGTAGGGGAGCTTGGAATGAACTGAAGACAACCTGAACAGTACTTATATTGTTCGGCTAACTGACCACAGACTTTTCTTAAAAAAAAAGTATCACTAAAATATGGCACATAAATCTTTTCCAAGAGACCAAAGCAGTGTCTACAGTCCTAACTGCTCTCATCTCTACATACCTTGCAATTTAACTTCACTCTATTTTTCATATACTCATTTTTAGAATTAACTACATACATACTCTGAACATCTCACTGGACAGAAGCAGCATCCTGAACTTCAGATTACAAACTGATGATGCAGCGAGAGAGAAGTTTTATATACTCATACTAAATACCTCATGCTGCATCAATTAATTTATTTGGCATCTGACCGAGAGTTGCAGTATGGGGTCAGATACACATGCAAACAACACTGATACATTAAACTCTTGTGGCGATCACACAATCTGTCTGCTGCATGAAACCAGAGAACGAACTCATATGAAAACAGCATCAGTAGGACTGTGTGTTTGACTCCCTTTCTAATTACACGTAGATTTATATACCTTATGTCTCTCCTAAGACAGCAGTCAGTAACACACACAACATTCACTCAGGATTATACAGTTACATTATTGACAGAAAGTTTACTTTTTAAAAAGGTCTTTGTCCAGCATAACACCATCTGAAGTTGTTTGAAGGGTCAGTCTTAACATATCCATGCACTCTTTCAATCGGGGATCAGATGTACGTAATCCTGTAGATTTGAGTGCCTATTACAATAAAACAATAATTACTAAAATGAAAAAATAGGCTATTACAATCAAGTTCTCTACTGCTCAGTCTTATTTATCAAGATAAGAGACATCTGCCACTGCGTTATCAACACAGAGACGTTTTGACACCTTATTGATCCTTTTGCCATTTCCTTTTGCCATGTTGGCTGCATCTGATGTCAAAGGATTAATGTCATTTGAAATCCACAAATTTTACACAAGTGCAAATACTACCCAGCCCTGCCGTAGACTCGGATGCTTTCAAGCATACTCTCCTGCACAGCAAAGGAGTGAGTAACAATACTAGTACACTCATTCTCTTACTTAATCACAGAAACAGTGTTGGGGTGGAGGGGGAAATATGGTTACATTCCTTGCTTCAGCTCACCGTGTATAACAGAAATTCTTTGCTTTGTACACTGGCATTTAGAATGTTAAAAAAACCTTGTAGTAGTTAGCTTTCATACAGCACTCTGGAACAGTAAACTTACAGTTATGAATTTATGAACTGGTATTTTTTCTTGTCCTTCTGCAATAGTATAGAAAAGCAGATCCTCTAAGCTAGGAAGGAGACCTTGTTTCACTTTACTGGAGGAAAAAAAAAAAGAAAACACATGCATAGATTAGTTTAGTGCATATTTTTATTTATATACATTTTTGCATTGTTCACAAGGAACCATTTTCACTACCAATATAACTGCTACCATTAATTTCAAAGAACGCTTTTATCAGTGAACACAAAGCTTAATTCATTCAGCTTTAAGCGGGAAAAAATGGTAAGATTAAAAGTAGCATACATATACTTTACAAAGCAAACATTTTTAACTGCAACACAGTCATGTTTTTACTGACATACATTTATTGGTAAGATTATATTTAGAAATGCTTTGGAACAGATTGATCATGTTTCCCTCTTCTTGATGTTGCAGAGGATAGACATGTTACTTGCAGAGAGGATAAAATATTTAGAAGACTCAAAGACCTATGTGCCTCATAATAAAGGTGTAAAAGCAGACTGATCCAATGGTTCCACAGGCAAGAGAAAGTAAAGAGATGATGGATGTGTATTATTTTCTTCAAATTAGCCCCGTTTTTAGGAACTCCTGGAAGGAGTCCTAAAGCCCTTGTCCTTCTACTAGCTATGTAAGCCCCATCAGTTACAGTGAAAGCAAGCAAAGCCATCTGCAGCATAGTACAGTAACCCGAACCAGCTCAGGCACCAGAAGCAGTAACTCATCGCGCGTACTGAGAGTAAGTTAACGTGCAATGTAGACACATCTTTAATGGTCACTATGTTTACCAACGTAAATACACTGTCTCTCCGAGTATTCCATTTTACTTGGAGATATGCTTCCTGTATGCCTGCATTTTTTTTTGTAACTTACATCTCCATTTTAAGTGAAATGTGAAGAAAACCTACCAGATTAAGCATCAAGAGTCCTTCCAAGAGAAAAAGCTGCAATACTGACAGCTTTCCCTCAAAGCCTTTGGAAGTTCTCTAAACGTTTAACCTCAGAGTTTCGCCTTTCCTTGCTGTTCCAAAGCACCCTGCAAAAGCCCAAGTCTGTACTCAGTTTTTTATGCCTCCCCTGTAAGTACGGCATCGTAGCATACAGCTGGAACGTACACTTCCAAACTGCTAGGGGCAGCGATAGCAAAGGGCTTCGGATCAGTTCTTTTAGTCCCCTGAAGTGCTTAGGTTTGTTTCTAGACAAAGTCAGTTTAGAGAAAACCAATGTTCTGATGTTTGACAAGCAAAAATAAATAAAAACAAAACAGTTCTCTACTAAATGTAGACATTAACTAAAATGCAGAGTATGCAGTCTTACATTATTTTAGCCATCAATTTTAAAGCTCAATCTTATAATCTAATAATATTGGCAACACTTTGTTACTGTACTGTAATACATAAAAGTTATTGCCCGAAACTAGAATGCTCAGTGGCAATTTATCTATTTCTATACATGTATGCATGTGTGTACAAAAAGCAGGTCTAAATTCTAGTCATGACAGTTTTCACAAGATTAGTTATTCTTTGAGTATCAGTACTCAGAGTTATAACTACGAAAATAAAATACTACAACTAAGCACAGAACCTAGGTAGGCCAATGCAATCTTACAGGCTGACGTTAATGCTCCCTCTCTCCCAATACTAGCTTACTCTAGCTCAACAACAGGTCAGATTTATGATTATTTTTAATAAAAATCTTATTATATCCAAATATCCTTTTAAATTTAAGACAATCTTTAGATTGCACTCGCCTCCCTCCTTTCCTCATAACTAGCAGTGAAAACCAGTAGTAAAAATCTCACTTCTCATTTTCCAATTTATTTAAAACACTGTACTTACATACTAAGAACAGAAGACAGCTTTGTAAGGCAACAGAACTTCCCTTGTCTTCCAGTCTGGATTTTTTTTTTTTTTTAAATGATGCTGGCTGACTAATGCACAGACAGGCTGGCAATTCAACCAAGACAAACGCTTGCAACTACCTCAAGCAAATTACTGAACACCCTTTTTCCTAAAGAAAATTCAAGTCTTCCACGCAGCACATTGCGCTTTCAATCTTTTGAGAACAGTACGTCCAGTCAAGCCAACAGAACCAAAACTACTAACATACCAATTAAAGCTTCACCCTATACCTGCATCCTAACTCTGCAGCTACGTACTTTGTTTTTTAAAGCTATGCTGAGTTACACAGTCTACACCCCTACATTTTCCCCATTCACACAGGGCATTTAACCAAGCTCCCCAAAGCATCGGGATTTCATGTTTTAAGGAATGTCCCTGCTACAAGACTCGTTACTGGATTGCTGCAGGTCCGACAGAGGAAACTCCCATATTCCATTTTGACAAAACAAGCCAGCAAATACACTGAGAAATTTTAACTGATAACCTATTTAATTACAAGTTTATGAGCTATTACTCAGAATTGTATAGCTGTTCCAAATGTGGAATTCTATCTGGAAGGGTGCAGAAAAAAACTTCAGAGATTTGACCAAGATTTTTATCTGTAAGATTTTCATCTCTTGAAGAGATGTGCACCCTTCACAGCATAAATTCTCTCTTGACATAGTTTCCGTATCTTTCACGTCTGCTGCTGTTCAATATTGGGTCAGTCAGCCTAATTTAACAATGGATCTGCACTGACTGCCAAAGCAAAGAGGATGGCATTCAATATATTTACAGAAAATTGCTCTTTGTCAAATAGTCCATCTTTTGATAAAGTTTATCAGCTAAATAGAGGTGGAAAGGCTTGCTCTGCAGTTTATCAGGTCAGTGATGTCAGTAACTAATGTTTGCTTAACATAAAAGCTACGTTTTGGCACCGTGAGCACACTTAGCAAGATAGTGCTACTCAGCACACATTGTAAAGAGCTGTTTTTCAAGTCAGGGAACTTGCAATTTCCACAGTCGAATTAAAGTGGAAATTCCAGTTTATTCCATTTCATGAATAATGACTTCTGATACTTGTTTCCCTTCTTTTAAAAAAAAAACAAAATTAAGCACCAGACTATTACACAACTAGACTTCTTCAGTGGTACTCTAACCTGTGGACTAGAATACTGGCAGATGCTCCAAACTGCTCTTCAAATATAAAGAAAAACAGAATGCAGGAATTCCAAGCACAAGGACTTTGTGATCCGTATCGTTCCTTCCTTCAGCACTTCCTTCTGCATCTGTGTGATACTTTTACCAGATTCCACAGAGAATTTCAGTTTAACTAAAGCTGAATTATAATTTCTACAATATAAAAGAGATTAAATTTCAAATCCAGTGAAATATTCCTACTTTGTACTTTAAGATGTAATTGGCAAAATGTAGAACAGGATTTATAGAACAACAAACAATATAAAGATACGATACTGCTAATAACAGTATCAGGCTCATTATTAACCATAAGACACCAGCCATAAAAATACGAGGTCACAACAACTGAAAACTCCAAGGGCTGCAACCCACAGTCGGTAGCCACTATCTAAAACAGGCATCCTGAAGAAGTTGTCACAATACTGCTGATCTCCAACTAAAAGATAGAAACATCCGTCAAGTCACTAAAAAACTACTTTCTGTCCACTTGCATAGTTAGACACTGATCCCATTAACAGTGGTGGGTAACCATTTACCTGAGAACTTACCAAGATTCAGACAAAACTACATATTTATAAACTTAGACCAAAGATGGACATGTTTTAGTAGATGTCAAAGTGTTTATGGTAAAAACAGGAACTGTTGCTTCAAAATCTTAGCCTCTAAGGAAGTTACGAAAGGTCTCATGAAAGCACACTTCTAACAGTTTCTTGCATCTGTGAGTATTATATCCACACTCTGACAGGAGTAACAGTGAGATGAACCACTGCCTGGTTACTACACAGTTATTCCTCTGGAATCTGGCCTGGGTGCAAAAGCAAAATGAATTTTAAAAGGTATCTCCAGAATTCATCCCTGTCCTTAAAAAGGAGCGCTACTACTCCCTTGTCACTTCAAGAAAAACAAACAAACACTTCCATTAACCATTTTGCTATATTCCATATACTAGTACCCATCACTATTGCAATTCAGCTATACTTTAAGAATCAGAATTGCTCACGTTTTGCTCCTCCCTCTCACCTTAATCAAGGCCTTTGTAATTTAGAAATAGCTTATACTAAGATAAACTATGTTTGATCCTACTACTGTCCAGCATAAGATGTAAGAATAACAATGCACGCTTATACTGAAAGTAAAAGTGAACAATGCACAGTTATATTGAAATTAGAAGTAAGCACTACTAAATATTATGCAAGTTTATAGTTTAAGACTGTACTAGGATATTGTGTTTTAATTACTTAGGCATGAACATAGATATGATCGCATTTTAATCCACAGCCTCCATTAATCAAAATTACCAGTCTATGACCGTTCTCAGTTTAAGTGCAAATATTTTTCCTTTCCAAAACATATTAAGTTTCAGGTGGATACAGAGAGTGAAGGCTGGATAGCATGGATGCAGCGGTGGTGGAAGATGTTTAGGAAAAAATGCAAGGGGATCTGGTTATGCAATGGGATACTAGTTATTTCATCAGCCACACACCTCATAATTTATTCTCTCCATGAGGAAGTAAACTGTTCTACATTTCTGTAGACTCTTTGCACAAAACATTTTAGGTTTTCACTTGCAACTCCTACTCGCTGTACACAAGGACTGTTAGGCAAGCAAACAAGCAAGAAAATCTTAGTGCTGTCTTTTGACACTGTAGGTTACTCCAGTATCCTAGAACCATGACCTTACAACCAAACAGAAAAAAATAATCCCCCAAAACAAATGAAAAAAGAAAGCGTAAAAAGGACTATTGTCTTCCCAGTCGGGTCGACAAACCATCTGCCAAACACAACTCAATGTTATATACGGCTGGATGGCAAAGCGCTGGAATCAGCAGAACACACAGACTGCACTGACTTAGCCCAGTTGTCAATTTAGTCCAGAAACCTGTCTTTTGAAGAACTTCACTTTTCTTCTGAATCCTGCACTCTATCTTAATATAGCAATGATTTCCACATGCAATGTACCATTTACAAATGCTCAAGGAAGATTTTCATAAATCTGCATTAAGAAAACTAAGAATGAAAGTACCCAGCAGGCTGGCTAATGTGCCGCCAGGAATTCCTGCACAGCCTGAACTGAAAAGAAACTGTTTCCAGCTTTTTCCTTGTTCATAACTATATGCTGTATGTTTTATGCAATTATTCCTTGTTCGTTTTGCAGTAAGGCTCAAAGAACAAGCATCTGACTTTCAAATACATCCTTTTGTCAAAAGCCAAAAATGATTAAAAGTGTATAAATGGTTTGTGACCACATAGCTTTGCCAGACATATTAGAAATTACAGGATTTCCCTAATTGATGATAGCTGTAGAAAGCTGTTATGAAAGCTCAGTTTAAGAAAGTGTTACCTCTTCAACAAATCACCTTTTCAACAGCCTCAAAAACCCCTCACAGTTGGCAGATGAGTTTTTCCTAAGTTTTTAATAGTACTGTCTGTATATCTCATTGAAAATGGAAGTACAACCTTTATAAACCACACCTACTTGAGCCACAGCTGAATAATATTTTGTTCCAAAACATTACATATAGAGCTAATTCAAAGAGGAGACTTCATATATGTTGAACAATAGTATAAATATAACAGTAATACACATATTATTGTGTATTATATTGTATATGGCTATATAACCTGACATGCGTGCATTTTCTAAGGTGTTTGTCAGCAGAAATTTTAACTGATGCCTTTAAAGAAGACTATATCCCATTGAAAAAAAAGGCTTGAACCAAGCTGAGCAGCTAAGACATTTGGTGGGAGAAAAGGGAGAAGAACAAGAAGATAGCTTCTTTCCCCACCTGCCATGTCGAAGGAGTACAAGTTCATGCTAAAAAAAAAAAAATAACAAATAAATAAATAAAACCCCACAAAACCACAACTCAAAAGCAGAACCATTAACGAGCTAAGGGCTGAAGCCTTCCCGACTGGCCTTGTGGAATCTTTTCCAGACTTCCTCTTAGCATTAGGCTAACAAAGACTTTGCTCAGTGTTAAAACAAGGTACTCCTTTCTTGGCCTTATTTCC